TGCCACCACCCCCGCCAGCGTCTCTGTGTCGGGGGGCTGTGGAGCTGCTCTGCGGACGGAGAGCCCAGCCCAGCTCAGGTGCCACGGCACGGACACCCCCAGCCTCACCGCTGGTGCTGGCAGAGAACCATGGCCGGGAGTCAAACCCCAGCTATTCCCCAGTTTTGCCACAAAGACCACTTCTCACTCAGCTCCACCAGTCACAGCGGGGTTATACAGCTCCACAGTGATGCACTGCACACACATGCATCTCCACTGACAGCACTGATTCTTGGTTGGACATGTAGGAAAGGAAAGATCGTGTAGGAATGAGGTTGTGTTGAGCTAGAAGTCACTGGGGGTCTCACATTTGTCCCTTTATGCTGGTAATATGATGAAGAGCAGTATTCTCATGCCAGAAAAGTTGCAGAGACATGGAGGACTGGATGGCCTGGAGGGACTTGAATATGTTGCTCTGCTCCAGGGCTGAGGCTGTGGGCTCAGGCCGCAGCCTAGCCTGCGGCCCTCCCCATCCCCAGGGTGATGAAAGGATTTACACCTCTCTAAGGACTTTAGTTTTGGCTGCAGTCTGCAGCCTCTTGACAGTCAAATTGTTGTAATTACTGCTTGCCCGCTTCTTCCCAGGCATGGGAATTTCATGCAATTTAATCTCTCTCTACTGGCTTAGCCCCAAAAAAGCAAATACATCTGTGCCAGAAGATGGGGCGCTAAGAGTAGGAGCTGGAGGGAGGAGAGGATTCTGCCGGTGCCCACTGAGATCAGCTCATTGCTGCCTTGCAGCTGAAACCTCGAGACTGTAGCATGACTGAAAAGGGGCAGCGTTTGCAATCCCAGAGGGCAACTCCCAAACTCCTATGCCGCCAGTGCACACCCAGAAAGAGTAGCCAAACCTGCCGCTTCCTCCTTTTTTCTTTTTCCAGCCTTGCTCTGGTGCTGCCCGGTTGTGCCACAAAATGTTTTCTGCCCGGCTCCCAGCTACCATGCAAACCCACGGCCTCCCACCGCCTGCCTCCTGACCCTTGCTTGGGCATGACTAATTCCTGCCGCCCTGATTCAAGGGTTTAACTCATCAAGATGCTGAGTAATGGCTGTGCCTGTCCCCGCTGCGTGGCAAGGGCGATGCTCCCCATTCACGCGCAGGGATAGATAAACCTCACAGTGGCCACCACGGCATTTTGCCTTCCCCTGCCAACAGGTCCCTGTCTGAGGGATGCATCCCACTTAGCAAGCACTTGTTTGAGAGGAGGTGTAGTATTAGGAGAAAAGGTCATGATCATTTCTTTTAGAAAAGATGGGACAGAGGCGAGAACGGGTTTAAATCATCTCACTGGAGACCCTCGGGAGGAGCTAGGCAGCGCTGGTCTGGCCTCAGGGCAGTGGTATGAACAGAAACCACCTCTCCAGCTCTCTTCTCCCACTTGCCTGTATTTCCGCTATTTCTGTTTAAGCCGCTCTGTGCCTAGGGCTACAAATGAATAAATCCTTTGTAATTAATAGGGACCAGGGTCTTCATCTGGGGCATTAGAGAAGGGCTTGGAGGAGAGGTGATACCTGCTGTAAATGCTCCTGTTTGTCAAATGTCACTGGATACACAAAAGCAGAAGGAAAAGGCTCAGTTCCTCAGACAACTGAAGATCTGCATGAGTTTGTCTGTTAATGCCATTGCAGAGTCACTAAGAGGTTTCTCTTAACCTCAAAGTGTCCTCTGTGTGCAGAGGAATCCCAAGTTCAGGGTCAGCCAGCAGAAACCTTTTGTGGTTTTATGAACCTCTCTGCCTGTAAACCCCCACATCTCCCACAATTTCCTCCCTCAGACCTCTGCCCTCCAACCACCCCATTCGGGCACCTCTCCTGCCCTCACCAGAGCCACCTTTGCTTTGTTTAACAAGGAGCAGCGTGAGGGAGGACATCAGCTTGCAATGGGCTGTTGTAATGAAGGCAACCAGCAATTGCTCTCTGGGTCAGCTGTAGGAACAAGACACTGAGCTACCCAGACCCCAGGGTGGGATATTCATGGGGAGAGCTGGCCAGAGCCAGGGCTGAGCTGGGCTTGGGCTGGAGAACCAAGTCACAGGGCCCACAGCAGGGATGAGCAGTGGCAGTGGGCAATGCTGGCATGGTGGGAGCCCCTTTGCCTGCCCAAGCAGAGAGAAAAGGGGGGGGATAGGCAAGAGAACAGCAACGGGAAATAACCAATGCCAGGATGGTGGTAAGGAATATCCCACACCCAGCAAATATTAGAAACTGAGATCATCGCAATGACAAGTAGAAGCATAAGGAACTGTGGGACTGGCTTTAGCAGTTACCAGAGGAAAACTTGTCATCCGGTAGGAACCACAGAAAATCTCACAATTGCAAAGATTATTTCTGATTGAAATGGCAAAAATATTTCCTTTTTGCTGCAGAAGTGGCTGGCCAAACTTTCAGTTCTCCATTTAGATGAGAGCCGGATGGGACTTCTTACTGGACACTGATGAAATACTTTCCATTCTAACTGGAATCAAGGATATTTCAATGAATTGCACAAAATTGCAGCTCAGCAGAAGTAGATAGTTTATGTTTAAGCATGTTTAAGGAATTAAATATAAGGAACTGATGTAAAGGGAGAGTGAAGAAATGACTTGTGGTTTTATTCCTCCTGCCATGGAAGACCTCTGTAAGCTGATGACTTTCTAATCCGGCAAAGAAACATAAGAGAAATTCAATGGAGGGGAAGAGAAGGAGGAGAGGAAACACAGGAGACCAGAAAAAACAGCTTTACAAATACAAATTGGAAAAACAAAAGAAAGTAAAAGCCCATTAGTTAGGAAGGGGAGCAAGTAGCCAAAGATGCTACCTATTTTTGGCTTGTTTTTGCATAAACAAAACGAGAGGTTATGGTCAAGTACTCAACACAATCAAAATTTAGCACTTACAAATGAGAAAAGGGAAAAGAGAACAAGTAAGGGAGGAAGAGGTAGATAAGGCAGGTGTAGTCAAACAA